ATTTGTCCATCCAGAAAAAAGTAAAATCCAGAAGCATAGCGAGATCAAGTTGATACCATGATATAGTACTATCTCTGTACATGTCGTTTTGGAGTTTGGACATATGCTTGCCAGCTTGTGCTCTCTTGATCATTGGACCGTAGAGTGAGAACTGCTCAGCCCAAAGTTTTGCAACTTTAAGTCTTATCAATAACTAATTACCTCCGTTTGGGAAATGATGCAATTCTAGTTCCGCCTTTAGTCAAACTATTTAGAGTTTAACCAAATTCATAAAAAAAGAGTATTACTTTTTTTGCGAATTAAAAAAAAGAGTATTACTATTTGACACTAAATAGGCATATTATGAAAACATTTCATAACGAATCTAAAGATATTTATATGATATCAACATTAATATCTTTTTGTATAAACTTGGTCAAACTCAATACAGTTTGGCTTGGTACTAAGCTAGAATTATTAGAATTGCATTCTTTTTCTGGAAGGTGGGTTTATGTAACTACATAGTAATTACCTTATGATAATATAATTCTCATGGGCATCATCAATATATATAACAGGTTAAAAGTTAACTTTGAAAAGTTGCATTTATTTTTTCGCCAAAAAAAGAAAGTTGTATTTATTTGTTGAACTGATGCCAGAGAAAGCGAACCTAGGAGAAAAAGAGTGGTATTTCTTCAGCCTAAGGGACCGGAAGTACCCAACAGGCGTTCGAACAAACCGTGCCACTAACGCTGGGTATTGGAAGACAACGGGGAAAGATAAGGAAATCTACACCGGTCAGCTACCAGCCACGCCAGAGCTAGTAGGGATGAAGAAAACCCTGGTGTTCTACAAGGGAAGAGCTCCTCGGGGCCAGAAGACAAACTGGGTCATACATGAGTATCGCCTGCACTCCAAATCAGTCCCCAAATCTAACAAGGTACGTACGGTATATATACATCTATACTTATATAAAAGTTACTTGATATATATATATTGTGTATATATATACATATTTCACGAAATTAATAATGAATATTCAGCGGAATTTATGATCCTAGCTAGACAAATTAATGAAGATGTTTTTGATGATGTATGGCAGGATGAGTGGGTGGTGTGCCGGGTGTTCGCCAAGAGCGCCGGCGCCAAGAAGTACCCGTCCAACAACGCGCACTCGCGGTCGCACCACCACCACCCGTACGCGCTGGACATGGTGCCGCCCCTCCTGCCCACGCTGCTGCAGCACGACCCCTTCGCGCGCCACCACCACCACCACCCGTACATGACCCCGGCCGACCTGGCCGAGCTCGCGCTCTTCGCCCGCGGCACGCCGGGGCTGCACCCGCACATCCAGCCGCACCCCGGGACGTCGGCGGCGGCGTACATGAACCCCCCCGCCGCCGCCGTGGCTGCGCCACCGTCGTTCACGCTCTCTGGCGGTGGCCTCAACCTGAACCTCGGAGCCTCGCCGGCCATGCCGTCGCCGCTTCCGCCGCCGCCGGCGGCACTCCACGCGATGTCGATGTCGATGGCGATGAGCGGCCAGACGGCGCCGAGCTGTGCCGGCGGCGGTAACCATCATCAGGTGATGGCAGGTGAGCACCAGCACCAGCAGCAGATGGCGACGGCGGCGGGGCTCGGCGGCTGCGTGATCGTGCCCGGAGCGAACGGAGGGTTCGGCGCGGACGCGGCCGGGGGCCGGTACCAGAGCTTGGACGTGGAGCAGCCGGTGGAGAGGTACTGGCCTGCCGGGTACCAGGTCTAGTAGCCGTGTGGATCGGAGTGCGTGGCTGGCATGCTGCATGCAGCGCCCAAAGTGGCGAGCGACGTGACAACATTTGAGGGTCTTTAATGTAGTCCGTTGTTGTATCAGTATCAGTAGCGGAAAGTTATTCTCTCTTTTTTTCAGTTTTTTTTTTTTTGTGTTGTTGTAATGTTGTCTAAGGATTATTAGCTGTTGTCATGGTAAGAAAAATGGACCATAAACCTATTTACTTTGATTTTAGTGTTTGATGATCAACACAACTAAATTGGACTAATGAATTTGCAAGTAATTGTTTTGTAGTTCAATAGGGTGCAAACGTGACTTGGACGAAAGCGACATGGTGATCCCATGATCAACACCTTAAGCAAGACCCTAGAAGCACAAGAGAGAATCCAAGATATCAATCAAAGTTCAAGCACGAAGATAGGAATGCCGGACGCAAGATAGCGAAGAAACTAGCTCCACGGAGGTGACCGGACGCAGCCCTATGAGGACCGGACGCGTCCGATCAGTTGCTCGGCAACAGCAGGCGTCAGCAGCAGTGATCGGACGCTGAGCGAGACAGTGATCGGACGCACGGACTTCACTGTTTATCGTCGCGGTAACAAGTCAGTGAGGACCGGACGCAGCGGCACTAGATGACCGGACGCACAAAGTGCAGCGTCCGATCATGTCCAGAGAGGTCCCAGAGCGGCGCAAATGCGGCCGGACACGTCCGGTCGATGATGACCGGACTCGGCAGTGCGTCCGATCTCTACGCGCACGCTCAATGATCCGGGACGACCGGACGTGTTTGGTCAGGACGACAACAGTGTCCGGTCAGTAGCAGAAAGCTGGGTTTCACCCCCAACGGCTACTTTCTCTATGTGGCTTATAAATAGACCCCCTAACCAGTCATTTGAGAGGGGAGAGCTGAGAGAAACATACCAAAGGTGTTGATACACCATTTTAGTGATCTCTACTTGCATAGTGTTTAGTGATTCATTAGGTGATTAAGCGTAGGTGCTTTGTGAAGTGCTTAGGTTGATTAGACCACCGCTTATGCGCTTGCTCTAGGTTTAGGCCTAGTGTTTAGTGAGGTTTGCACACCTCTTACTACTTGGTGTTTGCGCGCACCATTGTTGTACATCGGAGGGGCTTGTAATCTTGCGAGATCACACCAACCGCATTTATGGTGTGGCCGCCACCGTGTGCCGAAGAGAATAAGGCCCGCGGCGGTTCGGCCGGAAGCTTGATAGTGAAGACGGCGGGGAGCGGTCCGGGAGAGGCTTGCCGGAAAGCACACCGGAGACCCACTTGCGTGTGGGGAAGGCCTGGGGCTATTCACGGAGTTACCCGACTGGAAGCTTGGCCCTTGCGAGGGGCTCCAACGAGGACTAGGAGGAAGCTTGCGCGCTTCTCGATGTCTCGGTAAAAATACCGGAGTTGTCGACGGGAGTTTGTATATCTCTACCTTACTCTTTAGCTTCGCATTTATATTGCAATCTTTGTTTGTGCTTTACTTTCCTAGCTTAGTGATAGGCTAGTTGATAGGTTTGAAACCTAGGTTGCATAACTCATTTTACGATAGAGATAGCAACACACTAGCTAAACCGTAGTTACACATCTAGATAGTTTATCTTTTGCATAGTTTTTACTAAGGATATAAAAAGAGACCTTAGTTAAAAGTAGAATTTTAAATTGCCTAATTCACCTCCATCTTAGGTTCTCTGCACTCGTCAACCTCTATTTCCATACTCTAAAAGGAATATTCTATCCTAGTCATCGAGATTCTCTACTCTATATCCATTTCTTTCGCACCCATGTTATCTCTATTCCATACTCTATACCCACTATTTCATATTTTATTCTCCTCCCTCCCCTTTCTCTCTCTCACCAACTCTCTCTCCCCGCTACAGTGTTTAGCGTGCTGTGCGGCCGGTACACTGGAAGTAGCGGTGGGCAGGCGCGCGCACGGTGCGCCACCGCATGCTGCAGGGCTGTTTAGCGGTGCTCGGTGTGGATAGCCTTAGACGTCACGGTCCCTTGCAGTCTTTGCGTGTAGAAATAAGAGCAGGATAGGTCGATAACATGCATGTCATGTGCACCAAAACACAGGCATGGTACTGAGCCCATACAGGGCTCTGTGTACTCGTCCGTGTGATTGTTTCTGATAAATGTGCATGTTTTCTTCAAACCTAACAGTACCTAAACTTTGAATTTTGAGCTATGGTTACGTGCCTTGCGTTCCAGGAATGGAAGAATGGTCACCACGAAGGTGCCAAATTTCTCTTCGACAAGACAAGACAAGTGAGGCGACAGCAAGGGAGGCCGCCTGCCGGATTTGCTCCAACACCGGGACATGCCCGTAGCTTCGATTTGGATTTTCCCTTGAAGAAACATCAAGCAGATTCGAGGTAGACTAGGGGCTTACGCAATTACGCGTAAACATCAGACTCACAGTTCACACAAATATATACAGCCATGTAGTGCAGCAACGCGCTGTTTGGATGCAACTACCATGGTTTTGAAGTGCCATGAAATATTTGGATGGTACATTCGAAAACTACAGTAAGTATTTTAAAACTGTAGTCTTTTGAACTTTTAATCACTCCACTCTAGACCTCTTTTCCATGTCTCTTGTTTCTAAAACTAAGGTTTCTTGGTACTAGAGTTTCTCCAAACCACAACATCCAAATGTCGAAGATAAACTTTTACAGCGAGTGGAAGCTACAGCTGAAGTTATCAACAAATGCGAGACAAAAGAATGAAAATTACACAAGCTCAAACACATGCACAATGCTACAACAAATAACCTATGAAATGAACACCCACAGATTTAAGCTCGCGGTCCCTAATCTGATGAAAAACACCACAACCACAACTCTTCACACACAATGGGGGCAGAAACACAGTTCTTGTGTGTATTGTATAGTTCGTAGATACACAGCAAGGTTCAGCGATGATGGATCATTGTGTCTATACCTGACAACGAACTCATCAGTGAAAGGTAACATGGTCAAACTTCCATGATCTGCACGGTACAGAATCAAATACTCAAGTCAAGAACTCAAAGTGCCCTGGAAAGCCAAACAATATTTATACAACAATAAAATCGTTTTGTTTTCAAACCAGCAAATAAAATGGATCTGTATTACAGGGAACCAATAATGGTCGTACCTTCTTCAACTATAATACGGCACACCAAAGACAGTGTTTATCAATGGTTTATTTGTCAGCATGCCGGCGCTTATGTCTCCGATGACCATGGTTGGCATTACTGCTCCGTGATGTTTTCTTCTTCTGCCTCTTGATACTACATGCAAATGAAAATATTCAAATTAGGTGGCGAACGAAGTCAATTTGTAAACTCATGGCATTAAAACAAGCATCTAAAACTAGCTGAACACTGAGAAAAGAAAACACAAACCCGAATGTTTCAATTAGGAGTGTGTACAAAACAAAGACGGGCATCACCAACAAAGCAGAAGCCTGTAAAGAGAGAATACGTAAGCATGTTCGTATGTTCAAAACAGCAAGGTACAGTAAAAAAATAATTAATTAACTTTTGGTTAATTGGTGCCTACCAGATACCATACCAACTCCTCAGTTACAAATTGTTTTCGTAAATTCATGTTGGTGAAGGTAATCCGAGATAGTTGCCTGAGCCTGGAAAAGAAAATGGCTGAGATTCTTGCATATGGTTGTTGATCTGAGCATTTGATTATAGTAGTACTAAATGCAAAACGTTTAGGATCAATGAAAAATGAAAAAGTTAATTAAACTTATCGACATTAATCTATCATACTGATGGGAAAACATATTGCAATTAGCAGTAGTTTTGATATGTTTACTAACACAAAAGAAAGCAATCAAAGACCTCAACAACCAATTAATAATCAATAGTTTTGATACATACCAAAAGGGAAAAACACGTGACCTCAGTGTTAAGGTTTTTCAGCAGAGAATACAGCAGAAGCTACATGAAATACTGGTGAATGAATATAAAAGACCATAAGAACTAAGGTCAGCTAAAAAGTGCGTCAGAAATCCAGCCATGATTTTTCAAAATTTGCGCTAGAAATCCAGCCATGATTTTCAAAATTTGGAAGCAATAAACATAGACAAATAAGAACCACAAGCACAAAAATATAGATAGCAATTGAATATTAACAAGGACCAAAAATCTTGACTAATGTAGATGGGAAAAGGAAACAACAAATACCTGCTGATGATATGTAGTAGCTGTCTCAAGAAACTGTCCATATACATGGCATGCTCTTTCAGTATAGGGCTTGAGAGTAGTTCTAATTTTCTCGACATGTGGTTTAGTAGCTGTAGCAATTTGATCAATATATGGTCTGGAAAATTTCTTGGCTTCCTGAAAAACATATGATTTTGCAGGGTTACCTGGTGAAAAAACTGTGGCACGGAACCATAAAATCTTCAATGCTGGAGATGCACCTGGAAATAGGGGTCAGCAACTTGGTGTGCATTTACAAGATGAGGCCTGATGAAGTCACTTGATGTTTGATAAACCTCCAATGATTTCTCTGAGACCATTTGGACATAAGGCTTTGCATTTTTCTTCAAGATAACCCATTTTTCTTTAGCGACAGGCATCCATTTCTTCAAGAAGAGAAATGCCATTTTTAGTGGAAAATGAATCGATCAAGATGCCAAAAATTAGAAATATTAAGACAATATATATGGCATGATACCATGCTCTGTTGTAGTTTTAACATTTCAAATACACTTTATTCAACTACAGATTCACAAACATGATACATGTCAGAAATTTTCTACAAATGCATTTAGATATGATTCATATTTAATGCTTCAAAAACACCTGCAACATCATATTTCAGTAACTACAGATTCAGGAATATGTAAGAAGAATATTATTGTCTTAGCAGTTTCCAGATGGGGTTCAGCCCATTTCTTTGCCTGTGCTGATTTTTCTGATGCCTGCAGTTGTTTAGTTCACAGGGTATAAATGTCAAATGGATAGATAAAGTATCAATTTAATTCAGAATTTTCATCCATAAATAAAAAGAACTACAAAGAAGATATATGGCACCTTCTGCAAAAAGCTGTCAAAGGCAGGTTTCCCATGTTCCTTCCAATGATTTGACATCACCTCCTGCATAGTAACACAATGAATGTGATGAGAGAAAGCAACCAAAGAGGAATAGTCTTTAGGTCCACTCGTACCATAGAGTGGGCTGCATGTGTCGCTAACCAAGGTGGCAACCAGGCTCCATGAACCTGCCGAAGAAAAACATTCAGTATAATATGCATTGTAATAATCATGAAACAAAGAAGGGGTAAGGTTGGCATGAAACATAGAAGAGTATCATGCTCAACTGCTCATGGCAACAATAGCGGTTTGGAAGTTCTCACTGAACAAGAAGTTCCATGATAGCATCTACATGCCCAAGAACTGGAGTATACTAGGGTTTAGCGAAAAGGGACTTTGTTATTCTATTCACCTTCCTCACAATTAGAGCAATTCAGCTGAAAAGGTGAATTATATTGAATTGTGTTGTCAGAAAGGTCATTGGAACACATCACCAAGATGCGAAGCAGATATGCTTACTAAACTTTTACAATCAATTTACATTAACCTGACAAACATGAATTTACTATTCTATGCAACTTCGTCACAAATTCACAATTAGAGCAGCCGAGCTGACAAGTTAAGTTACATTTGAATTGTGTTTAAAAAAAATCATTGATATACTGCACCAAGATGTGAATCAGATAGTTTCACCAAAGAACTTGCAATGAATTTACAACAACCTGAAAAACCTTGATAGGATAGCAGAGAGTTAAATACATATTTACCTCTCCCAGCTGTTTAGCTTTTGTTGTTGCTTCCAACTGCACCTTCATCAGCTCCTCCTAGAGACATAAGAAACAAAGGTTGAACAGAATGCAAACATGCTACATCAGAACAAAGCATCACAGTAGTCGCATATTCTCAAACCTCAGCAACTTTAAGAGCGTGTTCAGTCTTCTGAATCCTGTGCTTTTGATCACTGCTTGTCCTCTGGAGCTATTAAGAAAAGTGTAGAAGTAAGGACACTGCTCAGTGCTTGCTAAATAAAAGGATGGAGTAAAAGCCCCTTTTTTTCTTTTTGAGGGGCCTAACCCTACTTACACAGAAACTGTAACAGGTGACAAAAAAGAAAGAAAGCACACAAGATCTGACAATCTAGCCTGTCTCTCAACAGGAAATAACTATCGGTGTTTGATGACCGGCAATTCATCGCGGGGTTACCCAGGACGATGTTCGAAGGGCTTCGGCGTACGCAGAACTCGACAGTAAACACAAAGAGACAAACGATTTATACTGGTTCGGGCCCTCTTGTCGAGTAATAGCCTTTACGTTCCAGTCGGCGTGTAGCCTTTTGCGTTGTATTGATTGTATGATTGTTAGGGTTACAAGGGGGTGCGCCATACCTCTCTTTATATAGGGGAGAGGGTAAGGACACGTATCTAGTCCTAATCGTTACAAGAGAAGAGTCATATTCCTATTACAGAATCTAGCTTTAATAGTAAACCGACTAAGTTGATCTGGAATAGCTTGAAGTCCATGCCACATTGTCTTGCGTCCTTCAACAAATCGTGGGCCATCTCAGGGCCCATCCGGGTAGTACTCCCGTGGGGAACCCCTAGGACTCTGGTCCGTCAAGCCCCCGAGCGCGTCATGGTTGAACTTGAAGCCTTCTTGTTCCTCCTGGTCTTGCCGAGTAGAAACAAGTGTAATCCGAGTGCTTTTGTGAGTAAAGCCATGAGGTGCCCTGTAAAGCCTCCGGGTGACGTGCACTTTTCAGAAAAGTGCACTCACTGAGTGTAGCCCCCGGGCCTCTTGTTGTTTGCAAAACAAAGAGTTAGAGTGTCCAAAAGAAAAAAGATCCATAGAGGATATGTACCTTGCAGCCCCCGAGCCTGTGTCCGAGTACTTGTACTCGAGACAAGGATCTGAAAAGAATATACTTCGAGGATGAGAGTGCCAACGAAAATTATTGCCCTATCTGCTTGTACAGAAGTAGGTAGGACCTGTCGAAGTCACATGCAAAGCTTTAGTACCGTTGGTCCAAAGATGCTCAGTATATTCGTGAGAATATGCCATCAAAGATGCTACCGGGTGTACTGTAACTTCACATGTGCTGGGAAAAGGCTGCCCGTACACTGAAAAGGTGTAGTGGGGTGCAGTGTATCCTTGAAGTGTAGCACGTGAACCTGTGTAAGAGTCAGTAGCTTGTCCGTGTATTCCGCGTGAGCCTGGTCTATAGACATTGTCAAAACGGCTATAAAAACCCTCCTGGCGAGCACTTGAACCTCAGTTGTAGAAGAAGCGAAGTGGCTCAGAGTTTGTAGCTTGCAAATATGGTAGTGAGCGAAGTAGACCAACCCCCGGGAGTACTCGGTTGGCATAGCCAAGAGCTGTAGTGACTAGAAGAATTCTTATGAGAGTGTTTAGAGGTAGGCTAAACCCGCAGTTGTGCACAGTAGAGTAGTCTGGATCTGCAACTAGAAGAAGTCTTGTGACGGTGGTAGGGTGGCACATCCAGTAGTCCCATGTCAGTTCTTCTAGGGTGCCTGTTGACGTCTGTCCATGAAGGGTCGTATCCGGACCCGAATGTGTACAGATGGCGTCGGCTGGGTGGCAAGATGTGCGAGTAGGTCATCCTACATACTAGCCTGCAGGCTTCCTCTTGCAGTAGCTATGCTCTCAAGGGTAGGCGGCCAACAAATGTTCGTAGCCGGACAGTCTACCCAAGGTTCTAGACTAGGACACATTGCACTTCTATTATCTACCCGGATGCATTACTCTTCTCTTGGATCCAAGTGCATCGGGTAGAAAAGTACCTACTGAGAAGCACTTAGAGTATGAGTACTCTGTTATATCGAGTAGGTATTGTCTTTGTTATTGACTGAAAAAATCTTGTGCTGAGTGGTCTTGAATCTTGTATAGTGTGCAACTTTGTATCCATTGTACTGTTGTTGAATAAAAAATCTTCATTCGAGTACTGCGTTATGTAGTGCATACTGTCAAGCAATTGTTCAAGTATTGCAGAATCATCCGGTACTGCACAATGTGGCCGTGTAGATAACGGTCATATCGTGGCCGGTACCCAGACAGAGAAAATCCAACGGATAAGTCTGAACACATTCTGACGCGTTGGAAATCATGAAAAGGCGTGCAACCGTCGGATTAATCCACGCTGCGTCATTAAAATGGAAGGGAAACCGAAACGCCGCGCCCGTTGGCGTGATTATTGGGCCACACGATAGTGAAATCACTATATAAAGGGTAACCACCCCGTGCGTCTTCTTCCTCCGTCGCATTCCACATTCTGCTTAAGCCTCCGTACCTGCTGTGAGCGCCGTCTCCCTCAAACCCTAAATCTGAAAAAGAGCTTTGCTTGATGGGTAAGGGTAAGAACCCGAGCGCCGCCGCCAAGAAGGTTGTCGAGAAGAGGGCGTTGGAGGTGCCGGAGATGGCCGTTGCCGCCCAGATCTGGCCGACGCCAAGCACGAAGCCGAAGCACCTTTAGAAGCTCCACGATCAGGGCTATTTGCCCGACCAGAAGCTGGGGGAATGGAAGGCGCCCGGTGAGCACCGCATTCCCAATCTTGAGCCGGGTGAAATTGTGCTCTTTGTTCCGTTCATCTAGCATGGGTTACGGTTGCCAGCTTGTCCGTTTTTACATGGGTTTTTGCATTACTACGGCATAACCCTAAACCATCTGAACCCTAACTCCATCCTGCATCTCTCGATTTTTGTTCATCTTTGTGAAACTTTTATTGATATTCTCCCCTCCATCACTCATTTCCGCTATTTTTTCAAACTGAAACCACACTCGGACGCCGCAAACCCAAGCGTTTTGGGCGGCGCCGGTATTCAGCTCCGAGTGGGGAAGAATAAAGATTATCTCCACTATACCCTTGTTGATTCTGTAAAGAATTGGAGGGTCGAGTGGTTTTATGCGGGGAATATGTGGCCACCGCTAAAGATCCATAGCAACGCCGCACTAGTGCCCAATGCCGCTGGGAGAAGGAGCCGATGAGCGCAACGGAGCTTGAAGGAATTCGCCCGTTCCTCAAGCAACTCTCGGCCATGAAGGATCAAGGCCTGAACGGAGTTGGAGTAGTCGCCAGCTTCATTAGGCGTCAAGTGCAGCCGCTGTAGGAGAGGGTGCACTACGGCTTCGAGTACATCGTGCCATAGGATCCAGCCCGGGTGACAACTGAGGAGCTGACAGAAGAGGAAGTCATGGAGAGGATTCAGGGTGTACTCCAGGCGGTATTGGTGATACCGTACCAGTATCCTGAACTGGACCATGAAAATCCACCTGCTGCCGTAAGTATTCGAACCTTTGTAACTTTGCAATGTCTTGATATTGTGGGGACTAACTCTTGTGGATTGATAACTGTTGGTACAGCACTTGGGGCGCAACTTTAATGACCTACCCGCCCTGCCTCCGCGTCCCGGCTTTGGAGGAGTTAGCGGAAGCGGAGCGGCATCCAGCGGAGCAGGCGGAGGGAGCGCCGCCTCCGCCGTCCCAGTAGAGCAAGAGTGTGACAGCGACTCGGGGAACCCAGACGATTTCATGGTCTAGGTTAATTCGAGTGCTGGGGAGGCAGCCGCGAGCGGGAAGCGGTCCTTGGAGGCCGACGTTGCTGCTAGCACGAGTGGGCCGGTACAAAAGAGGCCCCGTCGGTCTTGTACACTAAGACTAGGTAAAAGATGTCTGAATTATCTCCGTGTAGTCGGAATTGTACCTTGTGTTGAATCCAAGTTGTGAATAGTTACTGCAGATGAGGTTGTGGAGGAACGGGTGGAAGAGGAGAAGGAAGACACCTCGTTTTCCGTCAGACAGTAAGTATTTTTTCCGAGTAAAATTCTGTTACTAAAGTCTGTCATAGATGTATTTGGTGACGTTGAACTGCTCTTGGCAGGATGCCGCCACCAGATCTGTTACTCGAGTGCCAACTCAGGGTGACGGGATCACACTTGGACAGGATGCTAGTACTGTGAGTCATCCAGAGGACTCAGTACTGTTAGCATAAGTGTCGAGTCTAGGGCTGGGTCGATCGCTTAGTGGGATGTCGCTAGGCAAGTCCACCTTGAAGAAGAGATCCAGTGCCAAGTAAGTGTCGAAAAATTCCTCTGTATGTTATTTTTGTTCTCGGGACATCACTTGTATGTTGCTCATTCCAGGGTACAAAAGGCACCGAGTACCCGGGCAGAGTGATGAGCCCCGGGTTGAAGAGAACCCACGAACTGAGGGTGACCGGGTGGAAAAAGGCCAGATAAGCGAGCATGTGTCTCCACCCGGGTCTACTGAAACGCCCCGAGCGTAGGGTCCGAAGTCTGCCGTTGGTGAGGCGGAGCAACCCGCGTAGCCGGATACCACGGAGAGTGTGGAGGTGCCATAGCCACAGGTAGCGGTGCCTGTGAGTGATAAAATACATCGCCGGGGCCGGAGCCTACGGAGGCTACTGCTGAAGAAGATGTGCGGAGCGCGAGGGCTAACCCAAGCGCTGCTGCACCGAGTGCTCCTGGCCCAGAAGTGCCGACGACGAGCGCCCAGCAAGCGGAGGAGGATGACGTCGTCCCGGTTACTGGATCGGGTACCCAGCTCCAGGTTTATAGCCCGGAGTTCACTGAGTTGATGAAGTCGTGGTCCATGTTGCTGAACCAAGCTTCCGTCTTCGACGGCCAGTTGAGGGTAAGTAAACACATTTTGTCATTTCCTGTTGTAAATAACTTCAAATCCTCATTTCGGAAACAGTCATATGCTTAGGGCGTGGAGCGGAAAGCCTCTGCCAAGGTCCAAAAGATCCCGATAAAGCTCACCAGACTTAAGGAGGAGCAGGCCCAGAAGGAGGCCGAGTGGGAATCTGCGCAAAAGCGCCATGATGAAACCCTCTGTATCCTCCATTCTCAGATTGGTGAAGCCGAGCGGCAAAAAGCGGCGCCGAAACAAGGAAAAATGATGCCTTTGACTCTTTGTTGAAGATGACAGAGAAGGCCGAACTCTT